ATCAGAGAACTGAAGGCTTTGCTAAGTAAGAAAGAAGCTTATGCTGGTGAACTCGTACAAACACTTTCTCTGACCCACGAAGATTTTCGTGAGTCTTCTAACAAGGTCAGCTTTTTAGAGAGTTCACTCGCTCCTCTGCAAGCTTCTTATGATTCTGCCCTGGCTGAAAATGAATAGCTTAAAAACGAGATTGATCAATGGGAGCAAGATTACGAGATTCTTGAGGACAAGACTGCAATTGAAGTGAGTTGGGCAATTTTAAACACACACCATGATACCCTGGTTGAAGCTAGCCAAGAGGGCTTTAGTTTGGATGCTGAGTTAGCTAAAATAAAAGAGACTATTGAAAAAACTCAGCAAGGCCAAGACTTTCCTTCTCCTATGGCTGATATTCCCGAGCACATTGAAGATGATATGGGTACGGTAAATGCTCCAACTCCTTCAAGCCATCTCGAACCTTCTGCTGTTAATGACCCTGTTTCGGATCCTTCTTCAGCCCCTCAGTGAAAAGTTTACGATATGTTACTTTTTTTTTGGAATGTGGTTGTAACCCCGGTCTCATTTGGGGGTTTAGTTTTTTGGAAATGATAAGTCCCCAGACCTTTTCGGGGCGCTTTTGTATAAATGACAAATAGTTTATGACTAAGTTCGTACTTAGTCTAAACTTTTTAATATTAAGAAGTTTTCTGTTTTAACTTAGTTATTTTGATCTTCTGTTTTGCTCGTCTTTTCCTTTATACTTAAGGACTTGTTAATTAATTCGTGGGTTTATGTTTTACCCGTTTTTTGCATTTTTTGTTTCATAAAATGCTTTATTAACTTCATGGATGTTTGAATCACACATGAATTTTATAAAAGAGGGCCCTTTTATTTTCGACACTTAATGAAGAAGACGTCTCAACTTCATAATGGTGTAAATGTACGACAAAAGAAATAGGAACACACATGTTTCTTGAAGTAACTTTGATAAAGTTTTCATTTGAACTTTGTCAAGTTTAAATAACATCTTACATGTGTTTAAATAACTTCTATAACTTTTTTCGTAACTGTTTTCTTTACAACAGATTTCAAAAGAGAAAATAAAATTCAAGGTTTTCCTTTATAACCTGTTTCTATACATTGCCTTTAACCTAGATATCATAAAATTTTGAAATCTATAAGGTTTTTCGACTGGCTTTGTGTTATTGGCTCGTAACTTTGCTCTGAACTTGACTCATTCGATGAGTAGACTTTGAGGCTTTGATTTGTACTTTCGACTATCTTCTTTAGTCTTCTTTGCCTTCTTTATACGTATGCCCTACGTATATTATATAGTCCCCCAAGTATTTGAGCTTTGAAGTATGAAATCTCGAGCACTTGCTTACACCTCTTATTCGGTCCTTTCCCTGAAAAGGAAAAAAAACGTACGGGACTCGGAGGTGCGATTATAGATGAAGACTGCATAACCCGTTTGAATTTCTATCAGAATAAATTGTAACCCTAGACCGGGAATTTATGTTTTTTCACGTGTCTTGCAGGTCGTGACTCATTATTTAGTACGGGTTAGCTTTTTTTCCTATCATCTAAAACCGTTAGTAAAATTTTAACAATTCAAAAATAAGATTCGAAAACGTGGGTACCTGCCCGTGGATACTTCTTTTCCTTAGAAATAGTATCTCTTCAGATGAACGGCATTCCAATGTGAAGGTAAAATCTTGCCATCCATTGTTTCCAGCTCGTATGCTCCTTTTCCTGCGATACCATGAATCTTAAAAGGTCCTTCCCAAGTTGGACTTAACTTTCCCGCATTAGCCGCTCTCGTGGATTGAAAAATCTTCTTGAGTACGAAGTCCCCAACCTTGAAATATCTTAGGCGAGCTTTCCGATTATCATATCGTTCCATAACTTGCTTTTGTGCTGCCATTCTTATTAATGCAACTTCCCTTTTTTCTTCAAGTAAATCTAAGTTTATTCGCATTTCTTCTTCATTAGATTCCTCAGTTGCTTGTGCATATCTCGTGCTTGGTTCACCTATCTCGATTGGGATCAAGGCTTCAGCTCCGTATACCAGTAAAAATGGTGTTTCTCCCGTACTTGCTTTTACTGTCGTGCGCTAAGCCCGAAAAAACACCGGGTAACACCTCTGGCCAATTGCCTTTGGATTCCTCCAATCGTTTCTTCAAATTGTTAATAATGACTTTATTCGTCGATTCAACTTGTCCATTACCCACCAGATGGTAAGGCGTTGAAGTAATCCTTTTGATTTGCCAACTTTGAAAAAATTCCTTTATCTGTGCGCCTATAAACTGTGGGCCGTTGTCACATATGATTTCCTTTGTTACGCTGAATCGACATATGATAATTCGCCAAATGAAATCTCTGACCTCTTTTTCTCGTACCTGTTTAAAAGCACCTGCTTCCACCCACTTAGTAAAGTAATCAGTGAGTACTAGCAAAAATCTTACCTTGCCTTTTGCTTGTGGTAGTGGACCCACGATATTCATCCCCCACTTTATAAAAGGCCACGGTGCAATGACTGGATATAACAATTTTGCGGGTTTATGCATATTGTTACCGTATCTTTGGCACTTGTCACATTTATCTACAAAGTTTTCCGCTTCTTCTTTCATTTTCGGCCAATAATAGCCCGCTCTAATCATGGTTTTCACTAAAGATCTTCCTCCCGCATGATTTCCACATTGTCCCTCGTGTATTTCCCTCATCACATAATCTGTTTGAGAAGGTCCGAGGCATCTTACTAAAGGACCACCGAATATTTTTCAATAAAGATTGCCTTGCTTTAAACAGTACCGAGTAGCTTTTTTGTGAAGCGCGTGAGCCTTTTTCTTATCTTCAGGGACGGTTCCGTACTGCAAAAAATTGACAATCTCGTTCCTCCAATCCCAAGTTAAATTATTGAAATTTACCTCATTTCTATCTTGATCGAGTACTGAATGAAATAGATGTATTACAGAGGCATTTTCATCATTTGTTACTTCTGTCGCAGATGCAAGATTAGCTAAGGCGTCTGCCTCAACATTCTCCTCTCGTGGTATCTGCACAACCTTCCAGGTTTGGAATTGTCTAACCAGATCTCGCGCCTTCTCCAGGTATTGCTGCATTCTTGCCTCTCTGGCTGTATAAGTCCCAGCATTTGGTTAACTACAAGTTGCGAATCGCTTTTGATTACGACCTGCTCTATGCCAAGTTCGCGTGCCAGTTCTAAACCTGCAATCACAGCTTCATACTCTGCCTCATTGTTAGTCACAGGATGACATTTTATAGCTTGTCGTATGGTTTCACCCGTAGGTGGTACTAAAACAATTCCTAGACCTGCCCCTTTCACATTCGATGAGCCATCAGTAAATAAGGTCCAGGTTCCTAGATTAGATCCATTGAATACTTGTAGTTCTTTTTCTGCTTCTAGTTGCATCCCTTGGCTAAAATCGGCCAAAAAATCTGCTAACACCTGTGACTTTATTGCAGTTCTAGGTTGATATGTGATGTCATATTCACTCAATTCTACGGCCCACTTGGCTAACCTACCCGATAATTCCTGTTTGTTTAATATATTACGTAGGGGATAAGTAGTCACTACAGAGATAGGGTGGCATTGAAAATAAGGCCTTAATTTCCTAGATGTCATGATTAATGCAAGTGCAAGTTTTTCTAGTTGAGGATACCGTATCTCCGCGTCTAATAACGATTTGCTAAGATAATAAATTGGAGACTGTTTACCTTGGTCTTCACGAACCAAAACAGCACTCACCGCTACTTCTGAAACAACAAGGAGATAAGCAACTTTTCCCCATCTTTTAGTTTTGCAAGCAACGGTAGATTTGATAAGTAGACTTTAAGGTTTTTGAGCGCTTGTTGACATTCCTCAAACCATTCGAATTGATCTTGCTTTTTAAGAGCTGAAAAGAACTTAAAGCATTTTTCTGATGACTTGGAAATAAATCTTCCCAAGGCCGCAATTCTTCCCGTCAGTCTCTGCACCTCTTTCTTACTTGTAAGCATGTCAGGAATTTCTTCAATGGCTTTAATCTGTGCGGGATTTACTTCAATACCACGGTTAGAAACAAGAAAACCCAAAAACTTACCTGATGAAACGCCAAATGCACATTTCTCGGGATTTAGCTTCATATTGGATTTTCGTAAGATCTGAAATGTATCAGACAAGTGCGGTATATGATCTCCTGATTGTTGAGATTTGACAAGCATATCATCTATGTAGACTTCCATAGTTTCTCCTAAATGTTCCTGCATTTTGGTCACCAACCTTTGATATGTGGCACCAGCATATTTGAGGCCAAATGGCATTACTTTGTAACAATAAGCCCCCCTGTCTGTTATAAATGAAGTTTTTTCCTCATCTAAGGGATCCATTTTGATTTGATTATACCCTGAATATGCATCTAAAAAGCTTAACAATTCATGTCCTGCAGTAGCATCAATTAGTTGATCTATATGTGGTAACGGAAAAGAATCTTTAGGACAAGCTTTGTTAAGGTCGGTGTAGTATACACAAACTCGCCATTTGCCATTCTTTTTTGTACTACTACAGTATTAGCTAACCAATTAGGATACATCACCTCGCGGATAGACCCAATTTTCAAAAAATTTTGGACCTCATCTTGAATCACCTGATTTTTCAAAGATCCCCGCTTTCTTTTCTTTTGTTTGATAGGTGGATACGATGGATCTTCATTTAACTTGTGAGTCATTACTTCAGGGGGTATGCCTGTCATATCAGAATAGGACCAAGCAAAGCAATTCACGTTAGTTTTCAAAAATTCAATCAACTTACCTTTCATTTCGTGGCTTAAGTTGGCCCCAATGTAGACTTTCTTTTCAGGCCATTGTGTGAATAGTTCTACAGCCTCCAACTCTTCAACCATTATTTTGATATTTTCATTTTCTTCAGGTTCTTGGATGGAATCGGGCCTTGAGTCCACATATGTTCGCCCATGTTCAGTTGAGGCTTGCATCGTAGTATCCTCAACTGGATTCTAGAATTGCTACTTTTCTTCGTTTTTTGTGCTTGAATCTGCTACAGAGTTGATGCTCCTGGATGTTTGTTGATCCCCACGGATTTGACGTATTCCCCATGGTGATGGGAATTTAATAACTTGATGTAGGGTAGACGGCACAACATCCATCTCGTGAATCCACGGTCTACCAAGAATCATATTGTAAGCCATTTCCATCTCTACCACCTGAAATTTCGGATCTTTAACAACTCCTTCTGCGAATGTTGTAAGTACTACCTCCCCTTTTGTCACGACGCTTGAATTGTCAAAGCCAGATAACGTATGTGCTTTAGGTACTAGCTTATCTTCGGCTTGCATCGCGTTTAATACTCTTAGCAAAATGATGTTCTCGGAAATACCTGGATCAATCAAAACACGTTTCACATTAGTATCATGTACAAGTAGAGATATTACCAGTGCATCGTTGTGTGGAGTTAACACACCGTCCGCATCTGCATCATCAAATGTAATACTCTCCTCCTCCAAAACATGTCGGACCTGCCTCCCGTGTGTAACTGTAACTTTTGAAATTTTCTTGGCCGTCGCATATGTCACATCGTTAATTTCTTCGCCCCCGCTTATAACATTAACGGTCCTTTTTGGAGAAGGAGGTTTAGGTGGCTCCTACCTGTTCTTCATGTATACTTGCTTACCTTTTTCACTAAATAGCTCGGTAAGATACCCTTGCTTTAATAAATGGTCTACTTCACCTTGTAGCAATCTACAATCTGTCGTTTTATGACAATGATAGTTGTGAAACTCGCACCAGTGATCAAGATTACGCCTATTCGGATTTGATCTTATTTCCTTTAGCCACCGCACCTTATCACCCATGCTTCTTAATACTGCTACTAACTCCGAAGTGCTGATATTAAAATTGTAACCGCCAAATCTTGCCTTCAAACATCTGTCATCATCTCGCGTCTCTCGTGCGTTTCGATCTTTTCCAAACCTTGATGATGAACCCGACTCTCTATCTCTCGATCTATGATCATACCTTGAATTGTCCTGTTTTGAACGTGAATCTCTTCCCGCTGGGACCATGTAGGGTTCGTATCTGTTTTTACCGGATCTTTTTTCGGTTTCAGCACGTCTCGAACTCACCTTCTCCTCTTTTTGAGACCGGGAGATGGTATCTTCTTCTATCCTTAGCTTCGTGTTGTATCTGTTGTAAACATCATTCCAGGTTGTTGCTGGAAATTCACGTAGACTTTCTTTGAGTCGTCTCGTGGCTTCTGAGCTCTTTTTATTCAAATTACTGGCAAAAGCCATAGCTGCCCAATTATCAGGTACGAGTGGTAACGTCATCCTTTCACGCTGGAATCTATCTACGAATTCTCTAAGCAGCTCGGAATCCCCTTGCTTTATTTTGAAAATATCCTCCATTCTTCTTTCGACTTTTTAAGCTCCCGAATGCGCTTTGATAAATGAATCTGCAAGCTCAGCAAATGAATTTATAAAATTTTCGGGTAAGAGAGAATACCATGTTAATGCTCCCTTGGTGAGTGTTTCACCAAATTTCTTAACCAATACTGATTTAATTTCTTGTTTGGTTAAGTCGTTTCCCTTCACGCTAGTTGTGAACGCACTCACGTGATCTCGTGGATCAGTTGTGCCATCGTATTTTGGGATGTCGGGCATCTTGAATTTCTTCGGAATTGGTAGAGGAATAGCACTGGGTTTCCAAGGTTGTTGTGAATATTTATCCATATCTATTCCCTTGATTACAGGCGGTACTCTAGGTATTTGCTCTATGCGATCGCTTTGCTCCTTAAGCTGTTTCTGCAAGGTTAATACTAAATTTTGTAAATCAGAATTAACTATGTTACCTGGTTCGCCATCGCGAGATTCGCTGCGAGTTCCACCACTGCCTGAATTTTCGAGCCCAGAACGTGGGTTTTCCAAAGTATTATTATTCGGAGTTGGTGTTGGTGGTGCGACCGGCAACTGGCTAGCAAAAGCCTCAAGAGCTTTGCTGACCTGTTGAGCGATTAACTTTTGCAAAGCTTCGTTGATAGCCTCATCATTTTCCAATTGATCATTTTCATTTGATTGAGATCCATCAGGAGTTCCTTCTCGAGATTGTCGAGGAGAATTTTGTGGAGAAGGGTCAGGGGTTCCATCACCTTGCAAATTCTCTTGGAGTTGACGGTCTCTTTGATTGTTGTTGTCGTTGACATTTGACATGATTGATTTAGTAAAAACGGTTAATGTAAGTAAGAATAAATTATCAGATTCCCGGTAACGGAACCAATTTGTTTAACCAAAAATAGGGATTTCGGTCAAAGTTTTATTTTAGAAGAACTCGGGTTACTGATAATCAAATATATAATGAATAAAAGAAATTGACTTCAATAAGCAGAAGAAAGCAAAATAAATCAGTATATTGCAATAGTATTTCGTGTCCTTACAAATGTTCAATCTTTCCCTTTTATAGCTATCTCGAAGTAATACGTTTTTCCTTTATCATAATAGAGTCTTTATGATAATTAGTGGCATTAATATAACGTTATAATTGGTAATCATAACCGATTCATTACAAATTCCATAATGCTTTCCGTAATTAATGCCTATTAATTACCAATAATACGTATCTGTACCTCTTTTGCTATTTAAGTTCATTCTTCTGATATAACTGCTGAATATCAATAGGTACGAGCTTTTATCTTTCCTCTGCCCGTGCCTGTTAAAGCTCGTGTCTTTTTACTTTGCCAATCAGTTACTTTTCTACTAGTCCACGTGTCATGATATATCACCTCTTATTTAATTCTATACACGAACTCAATTTTTCCCAATACAGATAGTCCCCGCACTTGCCATTTATTCTTCAATAGAATATTTGGGAAGTGGATTTCATTAAAGCGGGAATATTTGCCGCCATTACTTCTTCTCTAAAACTGACGCTTCATATGTCACTTCCATTTAATGTTCACGACACGTGGCACCTCCCGGTTGGTTCTGCAACTTTTCAGCGCTTTTTAGGGCTTTTTTACGGCTTCATTAATTACGAAATGACAGCTTTCATCATGATGTTTCTATCATTGTGTCTTTTCCTTTGACGGTTGCTATTGAGTATTAATATAAGTTTTCATCTTTGTCTTTCTCATAAAATGTTCAGAATATTTAACTCTAGTTTTCTTCTTCCTCGTACTATTATGTCTTCTTCAAACCCTAACCCTCGGAGAGTCCCTATCGTTGACAATCTTCCTCTTGTTCCTATTAGAAGTAGGAGAGGAGGGAGACTTCGCAGTTTAGGTTCTTCATCTTCTCGAGGTCCTTCTCTTCCTTCTACGAGTTTAACTCCACCCTCTAGAACTAGAGGTTCTCTTTCCCAAAGGTCTTCATCTAGAAATAAAGAACCCAATGAACCTCCTCATGAACCTTTGGTTGATGAAATTGTTCCTGCTGAACTATCTTTTTACAATGATAGAGAGTCCATCAGAAACCAAGTTTCCTCTATGTCTTCATTAGATCGTGCTGACATTTACCCAACTCAGATCACTAAAGGTTTGATTTCTGTGGTTCGTAGAGATTGCCATTGGAGTCATGATTTCCCCATTATAATTCCCAATGCAAACCAAAGAATCACTTCCTACTTGACTGGGTTTTCTTTCGTATATACATATCCTTTTACATTGAATTTCAAGCCCCCCATTGACCCGGTTATCATCGAATTCTATCGTTTTTTTGAT